TATCCCTTCAAAGCCCAAGAAACTCACTTCTGTTCTTCTGTTCAGGGTACTTTTTGTCAGATTTGAACTTGGTGTGACATTAACAGATCCCCTTGGCTGGAGAAATGTGCCTCTCTCTCTGCATCTGTTTGGCAATGGAGTCCCTTGGCTGTCAGCCCCCTGGTCGTACATGGCTCTGAGGGACAGCACAGGGCAGGGGTGAAGGTTTAGGGGACATAGTGCAGCTCCGGCACCTCTACACTGCAATTACCAAGGGCCACTTCTTGGTTACAAATAGTTTCCTTCATGTCTTCCAAAGGCTTAGAGTTTTATTTGTCTTCCTTCCGATTTTTAGGCCATCGCTTTTGTCAAACATAACATATACTTTAAAGATAACAAAAAATATATGCACTATAGAAAATTTAAGTAATACAAAAGTATTGTACTTACTATTCAATCCCATTCAATTCCATGCCCCCCATCCTTGGCCTTTTGGAAACATAGAATTTCTTTTTCCCAACCTCCCTACCACTGAGCAAGTGGACACCACTCTCAGTGTGTTTTCTTTGAAACAGAGAGTAAAAGAGGTACCACCAGGCAGTGTCTCTTTTTCACTAAGACCTTCAGGGGGAGACAAAGATGTTCTCCAGATAAGCTGTTAGATTATTGTTCTGCAGGGGTTGGAGTAGACTCTGAAGCTTAGAGACCTTGGGCGAAGAGGGAGTATAAGATAAATGTTTCAGGAAAAGGCCATTTTGAAGCAGGACAGGGCAGCCAGATCCAGAGTGGGGTGGGGGAGGGTAGAGATGCTTCCTCCTCCCTGGATTACCATGAACAATCAACTACAATCCTTGGGTGGCAGAACTGCAAGACAAATAAGAATACTTACAAAGTTTTGAGGCTTTCCAATCCCTTGAACATTTTATGCCGAACGTTTTCCAACCGATTACTCGTGAGAAGTATTTCATTTACACCAGATGCTCCTTCAAATGCTCCCTCCTCAATATCTGTGATCTTATTGTTGCTAAAGTTTCTAAACAAAAATTGTGGAGACAAAGATTTGAAACGATTCCTCTCTAACAATGAGGGAACTGAAACAACGTGTTTGCTCATTTTCCTCTCTCGAGCAAAGTCTCCCACAATCTCCAAGCTCTTCAGTGTCCAGTACCGTCAGGGCTCTGAAAAGACATCATTTCCCTATCCCATCAAGCCAAAGGGAAAATAATTCCAAGAGGGAAAGTCTATGGTAAAATATACCAGCCTGATCTGCAAGGGCCCTCATGAGTATAAAATTCTTGAGGTTAGCTATTTGGTTATATAAAACTTTATGTCCTCCATACAACTTTAAAAAAACTTTTCAAAGAAATGCCCTATATATAAACTGCTGAATGAATTAATAACTAAAAGAAGGCAATTGGATAGGGAGAAGAAGGGTGGTCTGAAATGTGTTAGTGTTCAGATAGCATCAGAAATATATTTGAATATGGGTTTATTTGCAGTTAAGCTTCTATGTAATACTATGTTGAAACAACCAACTTTCGGTGTTATATATACCAAATACTACAATGCTTGCCCAGAGAGGAAGAAGTCCAGTGGAAGTAACACCTTTCTTTGGCTCCTTCTTTCTCTTTCTCACTGCTCATTCCATGATCGGGAGTGACCCCAAATCAAGGATGAACTTTATGTTTCTTTTTATTCCTCTCAGACCATTGCACATACTAAATATGTGTTGCATTGAAAATCATCTTATAGCTAAAAAAACCCCTGCATTCAGTATCAGTAAAAAAGGTGGACAATTAAGAAATTATAAACCTTTTGGGAGGCAGCATAATATGGGGGTCGAGTGCACAGGCAGTAGGTTCAGTCTGCTCTGCCACATACAGTCTGTGTGACTGTGACCAGTTATGAATGGGAACATGCAGGTGTCACGGAGCAATGCTTTTCCTCCTGTGGAGGGTGCTCCACTGGCCTTTCACTCTTGGCCTCTGTCCTGTCCCCCCCTTCCTCCTTCTCAGGGGCATGGAGCACTGACCGAGTGTTGCTGAAACTGCTGAGCTTATGATCTTATTTTAAAACATGAGTTGTGGAGATGGAGTAACGCAGATGAGATAGAGCCAGTTCACCAATCATTAATTTTGACTATCTTCTAATGAAAGTTTAATGAAGCAAAAAGTCAAATAGTTGACATGAATGTGCTCAAAGAAGAATAACAACATGGTTTGGGGAATAGCAAAGGAAGTTACAAAACATTACTGAACCCGTTTTAATGTGCTTAGATTGCTGGATTCCTGCTGTGGCCATGCAACAGACCAGCTGTCTGAGTTAGAGTAAGACGCTAAGGCTCTGCTACAGAGAATGTGTTGGCATTGTCTGAAAACACAGAGAAGTGTCTCTCAGAGATTACCCTAAATTCATGACAAAGGTAGTCACTGCATGGACATTTCTCTGGGTTTTTTACATTTTTGAAGTTTCCGAAGAAATCTAAATAAACTGTAAGGGGATGAAAAAAATCACAAAACACTAAAGAAATGTAAAAAGATATCTAACAAATGACTTACATTTTACGTAACTGAGGAAGTTTCTTAAAGATCCCTGTGGCTTCCAACACTGTGAATTCATTATTATTGAGACGCCTGGGAACAAAAAAGAAAGAACAGAAAAGTTCATTACCAATGGTTAAGAAGGGATAAAGTTTTATTTCTCATACTAAATCATAACATTTTTTAATGATAGCCCTAAAACAAAATATAGTATGTATATCACAGAATATTTTTGGAAAGTACTAATGTGTTTTTTCCATTTCACTCAATTTTTAATTACCAAAATAAAGCACACAGTAAGAAAAAACAATAATCAAAATCAGCTCTCTAGAACAAAGTTCCTGAAACTTTTCACTATTTCCCTCCAAGAAGCATTTTTCGACATGTTTCCTAACTACTTGCTCCATAATTTTTTTATTCACTGCTTAATTGAAATACAATTCACCTACCATAAAGTTCACCATTTTAAAGTGTACGAGGGCACTTCAAAGAGTTCATGGAAAGATCTGTACTATCTTTTAATTCTATTATTCCAAGAACTCTTTGAAATACCCTTGTACAATTCAGTGCTTTTTAGTATATTCACAAAATTGTGCAACCATCTCTGCTATCTAATTCCAGAATATTTTCACCACCACAGAAAGAAACCTCAATACTCATTACCAGTCACTCCAAATTGCTCCTCCCCCACTGCTCCCCACCTCACCCTCATCAGTCCTTGGCAACCACTAATTTACTTTCTGTCTCTATTGATTTTCCTATCCTGAACATTTTACATAAATAGAATCATACAAATGTCACCTTTGTGTCTGGCTTCCTTCACTTTGTATAATGTTTTAAAGGTTCATTCTTATTGTAGCATATCTCAGCACTTCATTATTTTTTTTATGACTGAAAAATATTCCATTGTATGGACATACCACATTTGTTTATCCATTTATCAGCTGATGGACATTTGTGTTTCTTCCACTTTTTGACTATTATAAATAATGCTGCTATGGATGTTGGTGCACAAGTTTTTGTGTGAATCTATGTTTTCAATTCTTTTGAATACATACATGGGGTGAAATAGCTGGTTCACATGGTAAATTTATGTTTAACTCTTTGAGGAATAGCCAAGCTGTTTTCCAAAGGAACTGAACCATTTTACATTCAGATCAGAAATTTATGAGCATTTCAATTTCTCCCACTTGTTATTGTTTTTGTTCTTATAGCCATTCCAGTGGGTGTGAGTTGGTATCTCATTGTTTTTTTTTTTCTTTTTTGATTTGCATTTCCCTAATGACTAATGTTGTTGAGCAGTTTTTATGTGTTTACTGGCCATTTGTATATCTTCTTTGGTATCTGCAATGTGCCTATTTACTGTTGAATTGTAAGAGTTCCCTCTATATTCTTGGTGTAAGTCCCTTAGAGATACATGATTTGCAAATATTTTCTCCCTAGTACTGATTTTATAAATACAAATTTTAAAACTTATTAATTTCTTAAAACACACACACACATACACACGAAACCTTTGTTGAAGCCAAAAATTGGAAGCTAGTTCTTACCACATTCTTGATTGCCAAATAACCCTATTTAAGGAGTTATATTGGAAGTTAACTAGTGTTAAATACCAGAAATAAGCACATATCCCTATATGAATGCAAAAAAAAAAATAGAGTTCAGGGCTTTTATTGTATGGTCTCCACACATTTCTAAAAGTTCTGTAGCTATGAAGTAGCTTCATGAACTAACGGGAGTAAAAAAGCATCTTTATAACCACAAGGTAGTTAGTTTCTGTAAGTCTTTGGGGCATTGCTTTATTTTTAATTATTCAAATTGATTAAAATTCATTGACTAACAGGCGTGAGTATAGGCACAGTGGGAGATAAACCATAACACACAATCCCTGTCGTCAAGGGGCTATGTTCTAGTCGAAGACAAAAGGATTATACACACGCAAAGAGACAACCAACTTTGCAAAGCAGTAAATGACAAATACCAGATGGTGCTATACATAAACTTTGCTACGATGTTCAGAAAATGATAAGAATTCAATAGGCTCTTCTTGAATTTTTAGAACACTGACATTAAAGGTGTTCCTTTTATAAATAAAGACAGTAAAAGCAAACCATACATGGGCATAGAATCTACAAATGATTCAACAAACGTATTTTAGCACCTAGGATGTGCAAGGTCCTATGTTAGGGTTGTAAATACAAGTCCAACCACACCCTGCCTTTTCAGCTTTTCCTGCTATGTTATCCATTGTTCAGAAAAAGCTATTCTTTGCACTTTAACGCTTGATAATAACTGAATCCTTCCACCGGGGAGTCAAAAAAGTAGTAATGTAGACACAAAAGAACTGCCTGATCTGATTTATAATTAGCAAAAACTCAAAATGATGATGCTCAAATTACTTTATTTGGTTTTTGCAAGGATTAAAGTCAAAAAAGTAGTAATGTAGACACAAAAGAACTGCCTGATCTGATTTATAATTAGCAAAAATTCAAAATGATGATGCTCAAATTACTTTATTTGGTTTTTGCAAGGATTAATTATGTTAAACATCTATCAACTGCTTAGAAATGGGTTTGGGCATAAATTGTACTCAGTAAATAAGGATCATATAAACACTATTATTATTAAGTACAAACTGAATTTTGAGAGATAAATTAATTTCTGGAATTGTTTTTTTTTTTTTTTGGGCTAGAAAGTTAAATAAAGACAGCCTCTAACATACTCTTACAAAAAGAAGAGTTATGCCAATGTAATGTATATTAATTAAAATTAATACAACTATTGAGGGAAAAATGGCAAGACAAAATTCCTATGCTTTGATGCTTTCATTCCTTGCCTCCCAACCTGGATTTTGCTGGGAGATGAACTTACAGCTCTGCAGTGTACTGGGGAATGTGGTCCGGGATTTTGTTGAGTTTTTGATTGGAGCAATCTACTGTCGTCCCTTCACAGTGGCACTTTTCAGGGCAAGCCAAATCTGCAAAGCAGTCTCCACTTAATTTTGATCGATAATCTTCTGTACCTATTGAAGATTCAAACCAAAACAAAAAAAAAAGAGAGATACTGAGTCTAAAGGTGAAAATATTTATTTATTTGTAGGAAGAAAAAAGTAAGATAACTATAGATTATGCAGCAGGGAGACAACTTGGGGAATTTTGGTCAATGGATGTCAGGACAGGGTTAAAATAAAGGCTTGGAATTTTCTGGAAAAAAAGAGCGACCAGATTCACATGACAGGATAACATTAATAAAGTTGAGCTTTTCACAGCTGTACTTTCTGCTGATCCAGTTCTGAGCCATTCTAGCCTATTTCACAGCTAATCACACAATGGCTATGAATTAAGAAGTTTATTTTTTCTCTGAGTCAAGATTTGAAAATGTATCCAGTAATAACCATATTCCTATATGTCATTATAAATTAGGGCTTTCAAGGCAAATAGGTGTACTCAGGTTTTTAAATTTTCTATGGACTTTTGTTATTCTCTCCCTCTCACATAATCTTCAGAAATGCCTCAAAAGCCCTCTTTTTTTTCATTTTGATTTTATAAAAAGAAACAAGTCAATCCTGATTTAAGCCTCAGCAGCTTGTCATGCTGTAGAAAGCTGCGTGACGTTCCATGGTGCTTGACGGAACCATGTTTTACTCATACCTCGCAACCACATGGTTAGATCAAGCACAACAGAAAATCTCGCTAAATTATCACTACACCAACCACTAGGCCAAGGGTAAGACCAAGAGGAAAGAGGAAGGGAAGCAGGAGAAAAGCTACAGACGTTCTGGAAATGTAATACTGTTTACATGACATGCATTCTTCCCGCAGAATGTTTATGACCATAGTAAGAGTATTACTACCGAAGGTTTCCTGGAAACACAAAGAAGAGGCTATACTGAAAGATGCCTCCACCGTCCCTCAGAACTGCAGAACGGAAACAACAGCTTTCGGGAACAACAGCCAGGAAGAAGTTGAAGGTGAGCTACAAGGACAACAGAGAAGCTCAAAAGATCTGTTGGTTTCTTCTTGAAAAAAGGCGCAAAAGACCAAGACTAGAAGAAGGTACATCAGGATTGAGAAGGGAGGACAGGTTTCAGATCAGACACTTTTACTTACAGCCCAAATGGTGAATTCCTGCAAAGTAAATATCACCAAGAAGGAAAGAAAGACAGAGTAATCCCAATTAAGATTAATATCCATTGGTGTAACTGAGCTCTCTTCCTTCTTTCTTTACTATGGAAATTTGCATGGTGTGATGCAAAGTGTCATGCTTTGTAAAATTTTATCATAATTTTTTTGAAGCTCAGTGGTCTCACAAGAAAATCAATGGCATAAAAGATGCATAATACAAACTAAATTCTTGCTGATTCCTTTAAAAGATAAACTCTCTGCCAGACAGATTTCCTTTTGAATTATCACTGTAATATTTAGGACGCCTTATAGAATGGTAATATGCAAGCACACATGTAAAGTTGAATAAAACACTAATCACAGAGATCCTAAAGGACTATTATTAGCACATTGGGATTAATCTTTAGGTTGTGGCTTACATGCTTTCCAATTTATAAATAATGTCACTTAGTGCAAATGGAATCAGAATCTCATATGAATTTTGCAATGCTGGGAATTATCACTGTAATATTTAGGACGCCTTATAGAATGGTAATATGCAAGCACACATGTAAAATTGAATAAAACACTAATCACAGAGATCCTAAAGGACTTTTATTAGTACATTGGGATTAATCTTTAGGTTGTGGCTTACATGCTTTCCAATTTATAAATAATGTCACTTAGTGCAAATGGAATCAGAATCTCATATGAAGTTTGCAATGCTGAATATAATAGATTCATTATATCTGGCAATTAATGCCATAGTATTTATTGAGGATCTGTTGTATTGTGGTTTAAACTTTAATCCAAGTGAAATAAGTGTATACCGGTAACAAAGTCTAAGTGATAGATGCACTGGCTATCTTCCATTTCAAATAATCTATATTCAATGCAATGACAATAATACTTATTTTATGGTGGTTCTTTAGATAGGCTCAAATTTTAATTAAAATTTTGAGTATAAAAAAAAGGGAGGGAGGCCCAAAGAATCCTTCTGAGGCTTGGCCTTTACAATTATTATTTTAAATAATGAAAATTGAATTATCAGAAATTTAAAGTTCAGACGTGATATCTGATATAAAAGATACTTTCTAAAATTAATTTGGTTGCTGTCAATAAGAGGGAAAAACTGTATCAGAACTTATGGAAACAACTTGACTTTTATTCTTTGGTGAGTTGGAAATAGTAATTTCTAACATTTTAATAAGATATATTTAAATGTAATAGTTTGAATAATTGGTAACAATTACATTAACTGCTGTAATTTGGGGACTTAAATCATATTAATGTTTTATTCTATAGGTGGTCTGGTATTTAGAATATGGCTTTTTCCAGTTAAGTAATAGCTATCAGATGACTTTCCACTTAATAACTGGGTAAATAGAATGAATTTTAAAAATTGCTAATTAAAGCCTATCAACTGTTCTTTTCAACATGATACCTGCTATGCAGACAGTATAATATATAAACTATTATTAATCATTGAAACTCAAAATATGTAATATAACAATCCGTTAAATTCATGTAATTATTCCAATTATAATTAAATGATGGCAATCAACAAATATCTCCTTAAAATAGAGACCAAACCCAGAGTTCTTTAAGAAAATATTGTTTTGCACACTAACACTATAGAAATATCTTTTTTATTTATAGCTCTTAAAATATAGTTTAGGATATACTCAAGAGATGGTGAATGTGTCCAATCAATATTTAACATATATTTTTATATAAAGGTTTAAAACAAACAAGTGAAGAGGCATTTTACACAATTGGCAGGCAAGGAAAAATAAGTAAAGAAACATATTTTAAAGAGCTAGCTCTAGAATCATCAGTGTTGATGGTGTCAACATTTTAGTGGTAAAACATGCAATTACTTTTCTTTGAAATATTTTATTCATCTGCCTGAATTATTCAGGGCATTTAGTGTCCCTGAACTTCTGATACATTCATGATGAACACAAATATTCTTTTTGTGAAGCTAGACTATAATTCTGGATATGTAAGAATGTGAAGTCACAAATAAGAAATAACTGTATATAAATCAGCAGAAAGCTGCTGTTTTTGTATAAAAGGTGAAGCAGAAGTAAGTACACTTTCTTAGTATAAAAAAACCTATAAAAAGGTAAGTCTCATGATTGAAAATACAGTTCTGTGCATTTGAAACTGATTTCAGGTAGAACTAGCTCTTTGAAAACAGAAAGGTCTCTGTCTTTAAAACCAGCTCGATAAGCTATATTTTAAAAACAGCTTAAAAGATAAGATATACAAATGTAAGGAGAGAAAATGATTTAAGTAGAAAGCCATAGGTTCAAACATTTTAGCTACTGTGAGAAATTTTAGATAATGTGCCAAAGTGAAAAGGAGAGAGAAAAGGATGGGTGTTTAATAATATATGTTTAACATCAGAAGCTGCATGCAAAGGTCAGGTTTTCAGGAAACAGCTACAAGTGATCTACTCATAAGTCAATCTATCTATAGGATATCCACTGTACTTTCAAAAGCATGCATATCAAAGTTTTAGAAGCTCTATTTTATAAGGTGAGGAAAGGGTGTCTGCAGTTAGTCCTACCACCGAGCAAGACCTACCTGGAATGAAATACTGTTCTTTAGCTAAATAAAAAAAGAGAAAAAAAAATAGAAGATGCACCTGAATGTCAGCAAGCAGAGATATGAGTTATATTAGATTCAGAATGGACTAAAGTTACTATAGATAATTAAGTGAAAAATGTATATTCACGGCAGTGGCTGAAATACCTTAATATACAGTGAATAGTATATGAACCTATAATCATGGGCAATAACTAACTTGGTTTTGATATTAGCTTTTTATTATGAATTAACTGCTGAATGTGAAATATACCTGGAATAGGTAGGTAGCATACTATCAAAAACATATAGAACGTATTCTATCATAAGAAAATAGAAAATATTAGATCAAACAGTAAATTTCAAGAAAATAAGCTTTCAATCTAATAGTAATACAGTGCACTTATATTTAGTTTTTTATAAATAAATGTAATCTTCCCAAAATGCTTAAAGATGGCCTTTGGGGGAAAAATGTATTCTTACAGTCCTATTCAAAATAAGAGAATGCAAAATGAGAGTGCGCTCAGAGTGAGAAACTAGGATGGGGAGATTCCCCCACTGCACACTTCTGAGCCTGAGAAAATCACATAACCAAGTCTCAGTTCACTTTCTGAAGAAATGAAAACATGATTGATTACTTTAATTTGGTCAATAGAGAATAATACAACAAACATGAGACTTAACATACTTTAAAGGCATTCTGAGTTAGCTGAAAGGCCCTTGTTTACTTTGAATCCTGGAAGTGCATATTTTTAACTTGGACAACAGCCTATTTCTTCTGCAGACAGTGTTAAAAAAAATTACATATAGGAGTCCTTTATCACCTGTGTCTACAATTCTCTTTATTTATTTATTTTTTTTCCTTCATGGGCAGAAGGAAAGGAAAAAATAATTCTATAATATTCTGTAATCAGCCGAAGGGCAGCTGCTTTTGTTAGGTCCCATGTAACCACTGTTTTTTGGTCACAGGGGAAATGTCACATGAAGTAAGAAATTACCTGAACAACGGAATTTCTTGCTTTTGATCTGTCCAATTCTTTTGTTGGCCAGACGCCGGGGGCTAGTGCAGCGGGCACCACTGGTCTCAATCGGGTTGGTATGGAGATAATCCGCCAGCCACTTGAGATGGCAGTCACAAATAAAGGGGTTCTGGGCCAAATGCCTTTCAGAAACACACACAGAACAGTTTCACACACGACTTGCAATGAACTCAACTGTCACATTCAGAGTGAAAATAATGATCATCAACTTTGATCCAAATCACATATACATACATAGTTTGGATGGCCCGGAGAGGTGAAAAGGTCCCCTTGGCGATGGTCTGAAGCTTGTTGTCATATAAGGAGAGAAGGTTCAAGTTGTGGAGATCCTGAAAAGCATCTACCCGAAGGCAGTTTATCTTGTTGGCATTCAATAATCTGTTTGATCAAATAGTTGTAGAATTAAAGTGCAGCATCTCATTAACTCACCTGAAAGATTTTCTCCTTCTTGAGGAAACCCTATCAAGAAATGCACTTCTTTTAACCTAAACACTAACATTTTAACTTTAATAATTTAGGTAGTACAGGAGGAAGATTTGGAATTTTACTAGAAAAAGCAAGAGTTATGTTTGTTGTCAAATAAACCTAAATCTAGTGGGACATATATGTGTATTCAATAACAATTTCACACATTTTCTCTGGAAGATGGAGACGTAGAAATGTGGACAAAGGTGAGTGAGATCTAGCACCTGTTATCAAGAACACCATAAAAATACCATAAAACATTATTAGTTCTTCAAGCTGCTCTGTGAAAAACAAGATCAGTCCATTCTCAAAACAACAGCTAGAATGATTCTGTCCTT